AGACTTTTATTTTTATAAACTGTATAGAGAGAAAAAACAAATCGCGCCCTGCCGGGGTGCCTCCCCTGCGAATTTGAAAATGTTTTTTTCGCAGAAACCTCCCCAGAAATATTCTCAACAACTTCCCTAAGTTTCATGGCGATCGTGTGAACGGTGTCACGTAAATCACTTAATATTTTTATATACCGTATATTGAGAAAAACCGCACCCTCCCGTGGCGCCGCCCTTGCGAAATTAAGAATTATTTTTGTACAGAACCCTTTCCGAGATAGTTCTAATCAATTCCCTAAAGTCTCATGGCTATCGGGTGAACGCTGTCAAACCAAAATCGACTTTTATTTTTATATATACCCATGTAGAGAAACCTCCCCAGGAATATTTTCAACAACTTCCCAAAGTTTCACGGCGATGTGATAAGAGGTGTAGTAATGCATAAAACAGACACACACACACACACACACACAAACATTACTTTTTATATGTATAGATAGATAGATGGGTAATAACCACTGCTGTTCTTAGATCTCAGCCAATCTGGGTAGCATGTTATACAATTTAAGACCCTTATAATCCAGCAGGGAAGTGATCAGACACAGTACTGACATACTGATGTTCAACCCTCATGATGGCCAGCCCCCACCTTTTCTAGCCCACAATAAAACCAAAGTTGAGTTAGTACCACTGCCCTCTCCTAAAAATTTCTCACCTCCGTGATACCCAGCCCCACAGAGATAGTATCTTTTAAATAATTTTGACCCTCAAAGCCCAGCAGGGAGAACAAAGAGGAAAGTCCCACTGCTCTCCCCTTAACATTTCTCACCTCGATGTCATGTTATGTTATTTATAGCACACATGGCTTATCAGGGGAAAGCATTAAGGCAGATTAGTTTGTACCATTCCTTTTTACATCTAAGAATTTTAACTCTGGACAGCTACACACTAGTATACTAGCTACACACTAGGTGCCTACTGTAAACTACTAGACTGTAGGCCCTATGTAGACCTGCAATTGCAGACTGGGTCCATTGTTATTATTCTAAACCATCTCACGTAAAATGTTTCTATCTAGCTTGATTTGTTTCTTTTATAAACAGTGAATTTAAAAAAAATAATTAGCCTAATCATTAACCAAATAATAATAATGTGATTATTTCCTGTTGGCTGGTATGATCTAGATTCTAGTACTCGGCTACATAAACTTAGTAGACTAATTACTAGATATGCATTTGGATATAATTAAACTCAGTCCAGTATCAGATACATATTGCTGTAAAAAGACACAAAGTAGATAGGCCTTGGTAATTTATTAAAGCTTTCTACTAGAATAATATCAACTATATGCTTGTATAAACTTTTCAAAATTTAATGAACTTTACACTGTAGTGTAGACTTGTCATAAGATTCTAGTAGCCTACAAATATACTAGTATTACTAGTAGGCCCTAGTTGTGTGCTGAATGACTAGGCTTTTGTTTGTTTATGCGGCTCATTGTAATAGCTATTGGAAGCATCCAGAAAAGGCCTGTTCAGTCCGGCATCCGTTGCTACACCAAAAAGACCACAGATAAGAATGAGGGAGCATGACATGTCGGCAACGTTTGCTTTGTTTGAAGTCTAAGATGTGTTCCGATAGAAAATCCAGTAAAAATCGTACTCAAAATACACTTTTGTGCTGTATTTATGTGTGAAAATTACAAAAATGATTTTTATAATCATTGCCATGTTATTAGTTACTAAATGGTATCGTTTGTTCCTGTTTCGGAAAAAAAATTTTTTTGGAAAAAATGTCCTACATTCCTGACGGTACTTATAAGTACCAAATACATGTTTGGGCCGTTAAAAATTTATGAAACGAAATTTCCTTCGGCATATGCTTTAAATGTGCCAAAAGCAATATGCTAACACATTGTTTAAGAAAAAAATTCATTCAGAACTTAATTCCGTAATAAAGGGTTAAGTAACAGATTCTAGATCTACGTCTAGTCATACAATCTAGATCTATTTCAATTTCAGAAAATTTCGTTTGCTAAAAAAATGATTAGATTATAGAGCGAGATTTTAGATATTAGAGACAATTAAATGCTTTATTATTATGACTACGTTTGATTTATTATGGGTGTATTTTGAAACGAATGTAGATCTAAATTTTGTAATTAAATTTAAGTAAATAGGCCTAAGTAGATTCTAGATTCTATGTCTACCCAGCGGAGCCAGTCACCCTAAATCCAGAATCTAGATCTGTGGTCCGAATTTTGTTTACGCCATGTTTAGAGCTAGATCTCAATATTAAATCACTATTCTATTATAACAATTAAATCTTACTAGACAACCCGTTGTCTAGTTAGATAACTGTGGGTTTCGAGGGGTCATCCATAAATGACGTTACGTCTGCCAGCACCTATCATTCCAAAATAACCAAACCCCACATTCAAAAAGACGTTTTTTATATTTTTAAAACTCTACTAAACTCTACTTCACCTGCCCAGTGCCCCGCCAAGTCTCAGACATGTTTGTATTTAAAAAAAAAAAACGATTCCGGCCGAGCATGGCTCTGACCACACTATCACTTCATATGCTGAGAACATAGAAACAGGTGAACTCTACTTCACCTGCCCTGTGGCCCGCGAGGTCTTGATAGTCAACCTTATCATTCACATATAGGCCTTAAGAAAAAATAATTAAAACCATTGTTGTAAAAAGAAAATAAATCTTTTTACTATTACTAAAGTTATTGTTCTAAACTTTTATAATTAATGTGGTTAATCTACCAATGAATATATCAATAAATTAATTAACGGCTTTAAATTAGTTTGTAATTAACAGTGTGTTTAAGAAAGAACAATATTTACCACACAAAATCCTATTTTACAGATCTACACATAATGCAGAATTTCCCCAATAACAAATCAGAAAAACAAACAAAAAAATGAGTTATCAAACATCAATATTCAGTTAAAGTTAAGCCATTGTTCTAAAACTTTAAAATTAATGTGGTTAATCTACCTATGAATAAATCAATAAATTAATTAACGTCTTTAAATAAATGTCTGATTAACAGTCTGTCAGCAAACAAAAATTGTTCTCTACCTACATACTATTTTATATAGAGCAGTTTCCTTACAGTTCCAAATCAGACGGAGTGGTCTAGCGGTAGAGAGTTGGACTGCTAACCCGTAAGTCTCGAGTTCGAATCCGGGTTCAAGTCAGTAGACCGTCCCTGAGTCCAACCAACTCTGATGGGTACCTAACTCACGTTAGGGAAAGTAAAGGCGGTTGGGCATAGTGCTGACCACACTATCTCTTCATATGCCGAGGTCACAGAAACAAGTGAACTCTACTTCACTTGCCCCATAGACCGTCAGGTTTGAAAGGGAAACTTTTACTTTTTTACCAAATCAGACAAACAAATAAATATTCAAACATGTAAACAAACTTGAGTTTTAGTAGTATATAGATTATTCTTCTTATTATTTTTGACTTTGTCTTTTACTATTAGTGTTTGTGAAGGTCGAGCATAATTTTTTTATTAGTAGTTATCTTTTAAAATTAAAATGAAGATTACTATTTTACTGTCCCTACCTGAAACAAAGTGTCGAGAACAGATTCGCATGTTAATTGCCTCTGCTTCACTCACACCGCTGCGGTAAATATTGGCTAAAAATTGACGGCTTCTACGTTCTGTTAACTGTCGATCTCTATCATCTTGGTTTAATATGAACCTTGGCAGTCGAAATAAAGGAATCCCCTTAGATCTGCCACTTCGAGTATCACAACCTTTCACCGCACAAATCACCATTTTAAATGTAGATCTGTACACCGGGATGGCAGATGTTTACATTCACGAACGGACGTGACGCCATATGAAAGGACTCTATTACTCCCCCCACCTTGTTTCTACATACAATGGTTCACCCAACGGACTTGTGAGTATAATATGATATAAAGTAAAGGCAGCTGCATGTAGTGCATCTCTACATCTGACCAGGTCAAAAAACATAAGAACTATAATTTATATACCCTATGGGTTTCTAGGTTTAAGGAAAAATGTTTACTACTTTGTTTTTACCTTAGCACTTTGTAACCATTTATAATTCATTAAATGTGTGATCAATATGTTTAAGCTTCTTTTAATTATATTAAATAGACTCTAGTTCTTTTTCATTTAACTTTTTTTTTTAAAAATAAGTTTCAATACGTTTTAACAATATTTAAACAATATTTAACTACAGGCCGAAATTTGACGCCATTGAAATGTCACGTAGTCATCAGACCTGTTTTATTTGCCGGCCAAAACCCTTGTTGAGTGTTCATCTGACCTGGTTGTAATACATTGTTTTAGTCTGTATACTACCCACATAGAGTGTAGCCTAGTCATCGCACTGTCATGCCATTATAAAGCAAACTAAGTGTTACTTATATTTTATAGGGCTTCTAGATGTTACACCATCACTATTACACGAAGAGCTTGTCCTGCATGTGATTTAATTCACGTTACAGTGGGAGACCTTAGGGGTCACCCATAAATGACGTCACGCTTTTTTGACGATTTTTACCTCTCCCACCCTTCCCTCCGTCACACGTCGTCACAAAAGGCCAGAACCCCTCCACTAAAATGACGTCACACCTCTGCCGACACCCCCCCACCTCAAAATTGCAGTGGAATTTTTCTTAAAACATTGATATTTTTCCAAAAAACTGCCAACATAGAGTATTTTAATCATTAATCACTCCCTATTATAATTTATTAAAATCATTTTCTAAAACGCGAAATAACGGCTAAAATTAATTTTCTAACATTGTTTTGTTAATTCAAAAGTGTGACGTCACACCATCTGAACCCACCCCCACCCCTCCTCCTCATCACACACCGTCACTAAATTATGGACCCCCCTTCCCCTACGAGTGTGACGTTATTTATGGACGACCCCTTACTCTGCCTTACTGCAACATCGAAGTTTCACGGAGTATTAGACGAGTCATGTTGTTGGTGTATTTATTGTATTGGTCATTACACATACTGTTGACATTTATATTTTCTTGTTGTACATTGCCAACCTTTTGAAAATTATGTTTTATTTTTAGGTAATTAAAATCACTTTTGGAAGAACGATTTAGATGTTTGCTAATTTAAAAAAAAAAAATTCTTCAGAAGTATTGTTTTTTCTTGAAGAGCTTGATACTAACTTATTTACTAACCCAACCATATGGCGATCAACGAATTCCAATTTTTACAAGCTTTTATTTAACTCGCTTCCTCTGTCGTCAGTCTAGATCAAAACGCCGGAGCGAAAACTCTGACACTTCTACTTGACCCATACGGTTCACAGTTGGCACGTGGGTCAAGACATGAAGACAATGCGGTCTGACTGAAATTAAATTTGACTTAATTGGATGCCTAATTAATTTTTTATGAATTAATTAAAATTTGGACCGAATTAGTAGGCGTATCTATCCAACCACACCACACGCGTCATCACGTTCAATAGGTGCGCAATTGTTTTTAGTCATGAAACTCTATTGTAAATAAAAACATGTACAGTACTAAAAAAAAATTTCATTAAAAAAATGTTTTAATAACAAGCTTTTATGTACTAACTAGACTACCCGTTATCATTAGATAAATGTGCGTTTCGGGGGTCATCCATAAATGACATAACGTCTGTCACTTATCATCACAAAATAACCAGACTCCACATTCAAAAAGGCGTCACACCTCAGACGTTTTTGTCTTTTAAAAACACTGACTTCGTCTGAGCATGGGTCTGACAACATAATCTTCATATGCTGAGGTCATAAAAACAGGTCAACTCTACTTCACCTACCCAGTGTCCTCCCAACTCAGACATGTTTTTGTCTGTGAAAACACAGATTTTGGCTGAGCGTGGGTCTGACCACACTATCTCTTCATATGCTGTAGTCACATGTGAACTTTACACCTACCCAACACTACTTCATCTGCCCAGTGTTTCGCCAAGTGGGTCGGCTCGTGTATAATAATTGACATGGTATACTCTTTAACAAAACAACCTCTTCATAATACAAATATTAAAATTAATAAACTATGGCCCACTATTGGATGACCACTAGTTAAAGTTCCACTATTGGATGACCACTAGTTAAAGTTATGTGAAGAGAAAAAATTATAACAAGATATTCAATAATAATTTACTCTAGTATTAATTATTTATGTTAAAAATGACATTAAATTGGTTTTTAGTCATGATGAATTTCCTGGATTACCTCTACAATGAATTTTTATGAGTATTTAAATTAGATAATTGACAAAATCTTTTGTGACAAACATCAACATTCATGTGGCTTATCTCCTGAATGAACTTTGAGAAAATCTCTGACAAATACCAGATTAATGTGGCCTGTCTTTTGAATGACTTTTTCAAGAGCACTTAAATAAGAGCTTTAAGAAAATTTTGTATACATACATATGGCTTATAACCTGTAAAAACACAAAAATCATAACAAATTATTCCTCAGAGTCAATTTTTTGTGATAAATATCACTATCATGTGGCCTCTCTCTTTAATGATTTTTTTTTGGGTGAAGATAAACAAGAAATTTGAGAAAACCTTGGATGTCAAACATCACATTCACGTGGTCTTTATCCTGAATGAACCTTTTTATGTCTTCTTAAATGATGACTTTGAGAAAACCTTTTATGACAAACATCACATTCATGTGGCCTTTCTCCTGAATGAACCATTTTATGTCTTCTTAAATGATGACTTTGAAAAAACCTTTCATGACAAACATCACATTCATGTGGCCTTTCTACTGAATGAAACTTTTTATGAATGCTTAAATAAGTACTTTGAGAAAACCTTATAAGACAAACATCACATTCATGTGGCCTTTCTCCTGAATGAACCTTTTTATGGGTTTTCAAAGTAGAAGTTTGAGAAAACCTTTTATGACAAACATCACATTCATGTGGCCTTTCTCCTGAATGAACCTTTTTATGGTTTTTCAAAGTAGAACTGTGAGAAAACTTTTTATGACAAACATCACATTCATGTAGCCTTTCTCCTGAATGAACATTTTTGTGAGTCGATAAATGTATCTTCTCACCAAACTTTTTATGACAAACATCACATTCATATGGCTTTACTCCTGTATGAATTCTTTTGTGTTTACTTAAACCAGAACTTTGAGTAAACCTTTTATGACAAACATCACATTCATATGACTTATCTCCTGAATGAACATTTTTGTGTTGTAATAAATTTGTCTTCTGATAAAACTTTTTATGACAAACATCACATTCATATGGCTTTACTCCTGTATGAATTCTTTTGTGTTTACTTAAAACAAAACTTTCAGTAAACCTTTTATGACAAACATCACATTCATATGACTTATCTCCTGAATGAACATTTTTGTGTTGTAATAAATTTATCTTCTGACCAAACTTTTTATGACAAACATCACATTCATATTGCTTTACTCCTGTATGAATTCTTTTGTGTTTACTTAAACCAGAACTTTGAGTAAACCTTTTATGACAAACATCACATTTATATGGCTTATCTCCTGAATGAACATTTTTGTGTTGTAATAAATTTGTCTTCTGACCAAACTTTTTATGACAAACATCACATTCATGTGGCTTATCTCCCGAATGCATTTTCAGATGTGTATATAATTTACATTGATTAGAGAACCCTTTATTACAAACATTACACATGTATTGCTGATCTCTTGAGAGCACTTTTTTATTTTTACTGAAATTACAACTTTGAGAAAGATTCTCACAGTCACCATCATATTCAACTTGCTCATTTCCGTCTTGAGCTGTTTTATGTTTTTTAAAGTTAGAACTTTGATAAAACCATTTGTGTTCGTGACTAGAAACAATTTGATATCTTTTGTCTCTAGAAAACTGGAGATTTTCTTCAACTTGAAGTTCAAGCCTTTTTTGTGTTTTATCCTCAAAAAATAAAAATCCTGTCAATAAATCTGGTTTTGAATCTTTACTACTTGATAAAGTTGTGACTTCTGATTTGTTATCTTCAGATGTTGATAATGTTGATACAGCAGGCTTTTTATCCTTAAAAATTAAAAACTCAGTTGTAACATCAGGTTTAACATCTTGCAAGCCTATAAATGTTTGGTAGAGTGTAAATTTATCAAAAGATGAAAAACTTGAAAATTCTGTTTCTGTGCCTTTAGAAGATGAAAATTCTGTTGTAGTATATGGTTTAACATCTTGAGAAGCTGTGAATGTCAAGTTGGGTTTTGCATTAACCATAGATGAAAATGTTGTAAATTCTGTTTTTATGTCTTGAGAAGATGAAAATATTGTTGATAGATCTGGTTTCAAATCTTCAGAGTTTAAAAATTCCGTTAATTTGTGTGACTGTTCATCTACAATAGACAACATTGCAGCTAAATGCTCTGTTTCCTCTTCCATTCTTGACTGCTTTTTTATAAATCAACTGATGATTAAAAATGTTATAAATGTTAAATTGAAAAGTGGTGATTATATTATAAAGTCACTTGGTTAGCAGGAAATAAGAGCAGTGTTTATGTCTTTGAAAGGATGAGAGAAGATATTGCGTATTTCTTCGAACATAACACGAAAGTGGCAGATGAAAAACAATGACACATTTTATATGTCAAAATATACTTATTTCATTAATTTCTATCCCTGACCTTTTAACCTAGCCTTAACCCAACCCTTGACCCTAAACTTAATTAAGATATAATGAATTAATTAAATAAAACATTATGTCATTAGCACTAATAACAAAATAAACTCAATTAAAACCCATACTTGATATTTCTTCACACTAGTGATTCTACCATGCAGCACTCAAAATAATTAGTAAAAAAAAATAATAATATATTAAATTAAATAAACTTCTCTTGAAAATTCTAAAATATACATTCAATTAAAAAATTCTAAAAATATGTAAGCCTACAAATAGAAGCAAAATATAACCACAAGATATGAGAGGATATATGAATGATGCATTTTCACTATTGTTCGTGGCTATAAAAAAATAATTTCTGTATAATACATTATGTAAATATGTAAAAAAATATTAGTATTTCCTAAATATATACTTGCATGGTCAACAGTCATGTGATCTGTTTGTCTTTTTTGTGCTTTATAACAAAGCTTTTTAGGTGCAAAAACTATTGAGCAAAAAAAAATTACATATCTTCTCATTAGTTCCCCATGTATTGACTATAGATAATTCTTCTAGGCCTGTAAGTTATTAAAAAAATGTTGCTGCCACAAAATACAGTCTGCATTTAGCGACTTTTCCAATGTCATTGTCCGCTTGGAACATGTTTGCAAAAAAAAAATTTCTGTATTAATAGTAAATTCAGATCTAATTGAATGAAGGGGGAATTTATATAGGCCTACCTGTGTCCGATAATAGAATTTTCTTTAACAGGGGGTGTTAGGTTACTGGTAGTAGGCATTTTGATGTAAATTTCAAAATGATTTTTTTTTAATAAAAAATGTAACAATAGTAGCTAGCACACTAGTAAACTAAGCCAATTTAGCAATATTTTAACTTTCTGTGCAAAGTCATTATTACTGAAAAAAAAATTCCAGTCAGGTCAGCCTATGTCCCCCTCCACTGAACTTGACTGAAGAATAAAATACTTGCCGTGACCTTCACTAAAACAGAATTTACTGATGTTTTTTTTAAATTAATAGTAAAAATGTGCTTAATCTTACCCAAATAAGTAATAAAAATTAGAAAATTTATTTTAATTACTGTTGTTAATTGAAATAAACATTTAATAAATCACGAGTTTTTTAAAGGGGGTGTGGCACATTGCAATTGGAACTTTATATTTCTGTGTTTTATGACTATATTTATTATTTATACACAATCAGGTAAAACCTTAGTTTAGCGTCGGAAATTATCGGGTAATGTTTGTTGAGTTTCGGTAACTAGAGTTACGGTAAACAATGGTTTATTTGACCATTGAAATATAAATAAATTGAAAGTCGATTGTAGTAAATTAACTTTTTAATTTTTTAAGTTTAATCGACAAAAGGAAACAAGAATAAATATAATAGTAGATTTAAATTAGTAGATCTAAAAATAAAAAAAAAAACATAGGCCCCCTATATTAATATAAATAATGAAGTCAAATGTAATAATTTAATGTTTTTGGCTTGCAGCGGATTAGCGACCATTAATTAATTTTAGATCTAGATCTAGCTGTTAGGCCAAGTTTAAAAAATCTAGATTACGAAAATAGTAAAAATGATTAAAAAATGTAAAAAATGATTACAAAAATAAATCTATCAAAATTTTAAACATTCTGTATAAAAATAAAAGATGATGCCAAATAAAGTAAGGTTTACAGTACTTCCGGTGAATTCTGGAAGTGTGTGACAGACTTTGGCATTGTTTTACTGTTTTTTACTGCTATACGATTCCGGAATAATAACCGACGCTAAACTAAGGTTTTACCCACAATCAGCATCCTCTGCTTTCGAAAATTGATAAAGGGTAAGTATACCAAGTTTCAAAATATGCAGGGCTGCCTACTTGTACGGTTTTGCCCGTAACTTTACGATTTTGACACCCAGGTTACGGAATTACGATTATGCTGCAAAATTACGGTTTTGATTTCAGTAGAGATCAAAATCGACTTTAGTGTAAAAAAAAATAATTTCTGGTAGTAACTTAACTGTATGTTCCCGGTCTGAGTTTTATATTTCAATTTAGCTAGTTATATTTCAGTATTTCAGTGTGTTATCCGGTTCTAAGGTTCTCAGCCTATTCCGTAACAATCCCCCCTCCCCTTCCCGCTCTTGTCTTGGCTGGCGGCAGTCGTGTTTATATTGTGAACTATTGACCCTGCGAGTGGTCTGTGTTACCTCATGAGTCGGTGTTGTCCGTAGAGAAAAAAAAGGCGTGGCCTAAATCATTGAAAGTCTCATCGCGCAGGCTGGCGAGACATATTTGCTGAGGCGGTGAAAGGGGAATATTTAATACGAGCCGACCCGCGGTGTATCATACGCCGCTATTTAGTTGTTTTTTTCTACTTTTCAGTAATTCATAATTTGTGAATTCGACAGTACCAATGCTGCCACTGAAAATATTTGCTTTAAAACACTAAACCCCCATTCCCCCCCCCCCGTGAAAGCAGCCTGCTCTTAGTTACCTCCTCTAAGTTTAAAATAGTTTCAAACTGAATTATCTGTCCCTAATAGCCGTCACCAAACAAAACATTTGGCGTGAACTACAACTCACCTGACCATGTGTGGGGGTGGGGGGTGGTAGCGATAGAGAGGAAGAGAGGGGACTGTAAGGCGCGCTTGCGGCTTGTTTTCTAACGGCTCCCAGAAGAGAATTATATATATAGATTGCGGCTAAATGCCTAAATAGCGAGATATCGAGGCATTTTGTTTGAGATGTGCGAGAAGACAAGATTTTACTAAACAACGAGATCTAGGCTCACCTAGATCAATTACGGATCATATTTTTAAAAGTGTACTTTTCTTCTAGATATTACATTGATAAAATGTAGATTAAAAAAAAATATTCAAGAAATATGCTAATTCTAAACATCGTCACCCGTCGGCCGCTTAAGTTTTCTTGTTCGCGGGAGAAAAAATCCTGACACACGCACAGTCGAGGGGTCACTGAGTTCACATTGGTTTAGATATCCGTAGTGTTGGCCTATAACATACGTCATACTACTCATTGCAAGAACAATTCCTATTTGAAATTTTCCATTGTCGCCTTACATTCTGAATTTAACAGCGTTTTTTTTAAAAAACTAATTATTAGTCCATAAAATAAAAAGTAGCACGAGTCGCCGACTGTCATCATTACGCTGATGAGCTTTACGATCATATAATATGGGTCTTATTTACATTGTATTTAAAAAATGTGTAAAAATACGGAAAGTTACGGAAAGTTACGGAAAACCTATGCTCTTGTTACGGGGAAAAATGTTTTGGGGTAGGCAGCCCTGAATATGCAACCCCAACAAATAATTCATAATTTTAGTAAACATTCTATTTTTAGGTATGATAAAAAACAGACATAAAACAGACATAAATCGAGATATAAATCAGACATAAATCTGTCTTGCGCAGCACACATTTTCCCTGCGCCTTGTTTTCACCAAAAAAGATTATAATAAAATGGCATAAATTATTACCAGTTTTGTAATGTGTGTTAAATTAATACTTTATTAATACTTTAAGTTTATGATTCACGTAAGCTGGATTATGATTAAAGCAATACTTCAGTTGATTTTGAAAGACAAGATTACATAGAGCTATTTTCACTTATGCGCTGCTTGCGAGAAAAACAAAAAAAATTAGATCAAAAGTACATCTGGGAATTCTTAAATAACAGACTGAAATAGAAACGGACAGTTCCGTTTTCTAAAATTAACGATAGCCTCGTCATCGATAGTTTTATCCCTCTACCGTTTAGTGACTGCGCATGAGCCGTGAGATGCCACGAAAATGAATCAAAGCGTTGAATCGAACGGCCTACTGGTAGTTTTCTAAATAAACACATTGCTGGCTGATGTCAATGCTAACCCTGTCCTTAACCCAAACCCCAGTTACTATGAGTAGTTAGTCCTACAGTCGTAGGCAACGCCTAACATTTCTAATCATTCATAAAATAATAATTAAAATAAATAGGCCTAGGCCTAATAAAACTAGATTAACTAGACTAGAGTAGATTAGCGATGCTCACTAACTTATCAATTTCGTTATTTTTCGACGTAAACAATACCAATGAAAAAAAAAATCCGTGATAACCATGTGTCTATCTGAAGAGGAGAACTCTGCAGGATGGACCTTGCAGCTGATTTGATTTTAGCAGAATATGCACAGTACTTTTGATTTTATTACCACATTTCTATTCGTATAGACACTGTATTCGTCAGAACAAAAATCATATGATGGAATTAGATCTATTTCTAGAATTTTTAAATATTTGATTTATGATGGAATTAGATCTATTTCTAGAATTTTTAAATATTTGATTTAATTTTTTTTTAAATGGAAGGGTGTTTAAAAAGGAAAACTAAACCCAAACTAATGAAAAACATGTTTAAGAATATATAGTATAGATCTAATCTTTTTAAAGATATTCAATCTCATGCATGTTTTATTAACTAGTGTAAGTGTTTTACTTTAGCAATGTTTAATTAGGGCAATTCATAAAATATAGCGATGTCATTGTAAAATGAATCTAACCCTCCTCTCTCACTTGACTTGGGACAGGTGTGTTATTTACAAAGTTTTGTCGTTGCTCAGTTTAAAATATTGTTAAGATTTGTAAGTATTTGATTTATTAAAAAAAACTGCAATAGCATTAAAATTGATCAAGTCAGGGAGAAATGCCTTCTAAACAGCGTCACGAGCAGTGCGAGGGAAAGACATCTCGCTCACATAGTTTTGTCAACCAGAAAAGTTAGCCTATCAAATACA